GACCGCGCCGTCATCCTGTTCGACGCCGTCGGCTTCTCGCTGCTCACACCCTTGCAGCAGGTCGTGCAGCTCAACAGCCTGTCCTGCTCGGTCAACGCGGCCTACGCCAAGCTGCTGGCGCAGGAAATCAACATCAACTTCGCCCGCACGACGACGGGCGACGGCTTCTACATCTGGAACCGCATGCGCGGCGTCGAGGCCAATGTGGAGCTGTACCAGCTGATGCAGTTCATCCTGGCCGACAACGCGCTGGCGCACGAACGCGCCACGCGGCCGGAGTCCGTGCCGCGGCTGCGCGCCTGCTTCCACGTCGGCTCGCACTACGAGTTCTACCAGTCCGAGGGGCTGAACCCGACGTCGTTCAGCTACTTGGTGGGCCAGGTGACGATCGAGCTGGCGCGCATGGTCGAGAACGCGCAGCCGGGGCAGATCCTCGTCGGCAAGTTCAACACGCTGATGCACGACGAGGTCAGCGGCGAGGACGTGCGCATCGACAGCCTGGACTTCGTCGAGCGCACGCGCGCGCCGCTGCGCAGCCTGAACGGCCTGAAGCTGGCCGGCGCCGAGGTCGACGAGATCGCCTGCTACCTGACCGGCCGGCGCGACGCGACGGGCCTGTGGGGCATCAGCGAGTACCAGATCGCCGACAAGCACGGCCTGATCCACCGCGTCTACAACGCCAAGATCAACATCCACCGCCGCAAGGGCGAGCCCATCTACCTCGGCCTGCGTGAAGAAGACCTGCCCCCGGACGCCCCGCGCTCCGTGGCGGACACCGACTTCACGCCGATGCCCTCCTGAGCACGGGTTGAGGGACAGCGCTGCCCCAGGTGCCAGTTCGCTAGGATGATCGGCGCAGTGACTGAGTCTCCCGCCCCCTCCCTCAGCCCGGCGGCCGCGCCCGGCGCCGTCGGCCAGCGTCGGCTGCTGACGCTGCTCTTCGTCGACCTGAGCGGCTCCACTGCCATGGCCGAGTGGATGGAGGCCGAGCACTACTCCGCCATGCTCGGGTCCCTGCGCGAGCTGTACGAGCGCATCGTGCCTCACCACGGCGGCGTCATCGCGCGCATCCAGGGCGACGGCATGCTGGCCGTCTTCGGCCACCCCGAGGTGCGCGAGGACGACGGCCGCCGCGC